GTTGATTATATCCTTGTGTATTGATTAGATATGCTTTATTTCATATAAATAGTATTTCAAAAATTATTCATTTTTGTATATTCTTGGAGTTATTTATTGTCAATAGAAAACACTATTTGTAGCCTTGACTAGAAATAATATGAGAGGATTTCTCAACCCATGTTTCAGGAACTTCCAATGATTTATAAAGGTGTTTCAGGTATCATTGACTGTAGTAATAAAGTCTGTTTACCTTCTAATTTTTTAAAATTTCATAAGGTGAAAAAAAAAAAAAGAGCAACAAAAGGAACCAGAAGAAAATAGAAGAGGAAAAAAGAAAAAGTGTAATCAAAGCTTGCAATTCAGAACATCTGTCCTTACAACATTCAATTTGAGTTTTATTCAGGAAATGACTCTTTTCTTTATCATGTCCTAATACATAACATTCTCTGATGGCAGAGAGGAGGGAGGAAGAAACCTGCCTCTGTGTCCTAGTTCACTCATTCAGTGAATATTTATTGAGTCCTTATTAGGTGCCTGTCACTGTACTTTCTATGGTATTCCCTCTGCCTGGATTTTTTTTCATTTTCTTCTTTCTTTTATGCATGGCATACTCTTATTTATCCTGTGAGAGGTAGCTCCAATACTGCCTACTTTTTGAAATATTCCCTTACTCCACAAAGTTACGAGAGTACTTCAAAAAATTCCTAGAAAGATTTATATTATCTCTTAATTCTATTTTCCCACAAACTTTATGAAGCATCCTCAAATATACTTTTCCTTCTATAGTCTCATAGAATTTTACCTATCATACCTTTGTAATATGTAATACATATCTGTCTGCCTCTCCCATCAGACTGATTGCTTTAGATATAAGACTTATCCTTTTGTCCTTACCCTTTAGCACTAAGCATTATATCTGACACACAAGTGTTGCTCAGCAAATATTTACTGGCTAGATTATGGATAAATGGATGAACAATTGTTGATAACTTGTGCACAGTATGAGCAAGGGAATTCTGCTTCTGGTTATAATGGAGTAGGAGACTAACACTCCCACTAAGAACAAGTAGAAAATCTAAATAAAATTCTCTAAGAATAGTATTTGCAGGCATCAGAGAGTTACATCAGAGAGTTCACTAAGGTGAACCTAGTATTCTGTGTGTTACTTTTCCCCTTAGGAGAGTTGCCAAAAACTTAAACAGCTAAAAGCAGAGAAGAATTTTTGGCAGTCTCGTGGTGTTGAGACAAAAATTTGAGTTTTAACTCACCAAAGAGGAGGGGATCTAGTTAATATCCAGACTTTCAATTGGGATCCAAAGGCATTGGGACTCACAAAGACTATAACACCTCCTTAGGTCAACTCAATCTCTGATTCAATTAAGGTGATCTTTACTATTCTAGTTGCCTATCAGAATCCCTTCTAGAGGAGGATAACATCACTTAGAGGCTGTATAATTTTTCCTGATACAAAACTATTGGGCATAACAAGAAACAGGCCCAAGGGAACATAGGAGTTGGGGCATGGGGGGAGGTGGGGGTGAAGAACAGACTGATAGGTGAACCAGAAATTAGAGTTATCAAAAGTGGACTTTAAAATAACTGTGATAAGTTCAAGAATATAGATATTAAGATTGAGAATTTCACCAGAGACCCAGAAAAAAAAATATTATATATATATATAAATAGAAATTCTATAACTGAAAAATCACTGACATTATAAACTCAATAGATGGGCTTAACAGTATCAACAACTAAAGTTACCCTTACCCTCAGTTAAGCTACAACTGAAGAGTAGATAGTAGACTAGAAAGAACAAGATCATAGTATGGAGAGTCAAAAGTATTAAAAATGTAGAAAAGAGCAAATGGGATATATAGGACATGGTGAAAAGTCTAACATATATGTAATTTGAGTCCCAAAAAGAGAGGAGAGAGAGAATGGAGCAGAAACATCATTTGAGATGATAATGGCCAAGAACTTTTCAAAAGTGACCAATGAAAATAAGCCACAGATTCAAAAAGTATATTGAATTCATAGCAGGATTAAAAAAAAACCCCAAACACAACTAGGCATACCACTGTAAAACTGCAAAAAACCCAAAGACAAAGAAAGTCTCAAAAGCCATCAGATGGGGGGAAATCTCATTACCATCCAAAGAGCAACAACAATTAGACTGACAGCTGACTTCTCAATAGAAATGATGGAAGCCAAAACAACAAAACTACGTCTCAATGAAAGATAAGGTGCCATTCTAGAATTCTATATTTACAAAAATATCCTTCAAATGTGAAGGTAGTATAAAGACATTTATAGAATATGAGAACTGAGGAAATTTCCAGTAGACCTGCACTTAAAGAATCACCCAAGGGATTTTTTCAGGCAAACAAAATTATCCCAGTCAGAAATGCAAGAAGGAATGAAGAGTAACAAGAAGGGTAAATATATGTTTAAATCTAAAGAAACACTGACCATGCAAAACAGTAATAAAACAATAATTGCAAAGGAAGAGAGGTCAATGAAGTTAAAATATTACATGATCCTAGCATTGTGTAGGAAGTGGTAAAAGGACTAATTTATTTTAGGTACTAATAAATCAAGTTTGCATACTGTAATTTTCAGGGTACCCACTAAAGAAAAAAATTAAAGAATATATAACAAGTTAAAAGGAAAAAATGGAATATAAAAATGTTTAATAATCCAAAAAGAAGACAACAAAGTAGAAAAAAGGAACATAAAACAAGTAGGACAAATAGAAAACAAATAGTAGAGGTAAATATAAACTTGTATATTTATGACTTGTACATTCTATATATGCTGTATTTCAATAAAAATTTTACTTTTTAAAAAGTATACCAGTAAAGGTATTAGAATTGGCAGCAAGATCAATTCAGTTATATTTAAGGATGTAACTATTAGCTACTGAAGATAGCTAATACAGTTTAGACAGTGGGGAAATGTTACAGCACCACTGGTTATACTTCTCTCTGTGTAACAGAGACACAAAAAAGGATTACTCAAAGCAACATGAATGCAATGAGAAGCCCAAAGGGGCTGCACCTCAGCAACTCCTCTATTAGAAGGAGAAAACTGGTTACGGCCCTGATTCAAAATTAGCTTGTTTTTTATTGTAAAGACAAGGAAGTTTCACAAGAAAAATCAGTTGGTTCAACCATTTCAAAAAGATGCAAAGCAGTGTGCCAAAAGTTATCTAAGGCTAAGTATAGCTTAAACAATGGAAACTAGTAACATCAGTAAAACTAACAACGTGACATTCCAAAGTACAATTTGTGAAAAGCTAAAGTGCTCAAACTGCGATCATTACCTAAAATATAACGTCTCCTCAAATTATTTAAGCAAAAGTTACATTCTCATGATTAAACTATAATTGTCTCTGAAGTTTCCACCAACAGACAGCTTGCCCTTAGCAAACATTTTTTCACATTTTTCCCTTCAGCAATTAAAACCTCTTAACTGGGTATGACAACCACCTGTTAGCGCTAAAATCATTAAAGTATACAATCCCATACCTAAGCAGTGATTAGAGCTGATTAGATGGGCTGTTGCCATGTTACCTGTGGGCCTTTGCCTCCTGGCTGCAGACTGTTGCCTCATACATGCATTACCTAAAAACCCTATTCTAAAAATCAAATGCGAATCAAGATTTCTAACCCTCTACATGGAAGGGGAAATATTATGGAGGGAGCACACCCCTTTCTTTTAAAGGCAAGACCTCTGGCCAGCTGCCATAAATAAATAAATAAATAGATAGATAGATAAATAGATAGAAAGGCAACACCTGTATGTATGTACATTTCACTTGTGCTCATACCACATTACCATAAGTTACTTGAGGACTGGGAAACAATCTAGCTTGGTGGCCATGTGCTTTGTGTTATATAAGAAGCTGAGGTCAAGTACTGGTAGCAACTAATAATCTCTGCCATATTCTGAACCTCAGTAAAGTCGAGTGTTGAATTAATTTAGATTAATATAGCTGATTGGTAAATTCTGATCTTTGTAGTTAGGCTTGCTTCTACTTGTTTATATTAAAATTGTAATACATACAGACTTAAAAATAAAACATATATATATATATATTACCTATTATATAGGTAAACAAGTAGCAGCACTACTTGTAATGGCCACAAACTAGAAACTACCCAAATATTTATCAACAGAAGAATATTTTACCTATTATACAGGTAAAATCACTAATAAACTGAAGACTGTATAGAAGCTTAATGCTTTGTACTCCTTTATTCACTGAAATTAAGAATAATCCTCTTCTCCTTTCTCCATTTTGGCCAGTGAAATCAAACTCTTACAGACTTACTTTTGCTTATAATGCTAACTAATGAAATTCCAGAGCCTAGGCTTAAAAATACACATCTTCATAATGAACAAAGAGACAAAGATAAAGATGGAGATGCCCCTCTACCCTACAGCAATAGAGGAAGAGAGATGTTTCTGTTTCACAAAACTAGTTCAAAGAATAGGCTGATGAGGTGTTAAATTAAGAACATTCATAAGAACATCAATCTTGTTTTCCTATGGAATATGAAAACTTAACTGAATATTCATAATCTAGCAACTTGTTCTTTTCTCTGTTCTTGGAGGCATAATTTCAACAACAGGATCTTCTAAAACTCTTAAGAATTTTGAAATTATTATATACTGTGAAGAAAACCTTCAAAGAGAAGCCTGTAATTCTGACTGGCTGTCTTCCTTGGTAGTTTCTTACCTTTGTAAAAATGCTATAATTTACATGTCTTGAATTCCTAAACAACCTAAAGACTTGTAACTTTGCTCTTCCAAGTCAGAAGAGAATCACTGGCACATTTCTCTTTTCCCACATGTATAACGGAGAGAAACAAATGATTACACTGGTTGATTTCTCAACAGAGAATTAACAAGGGAAATTGCCTTTTTGTATTTGTGAAAATTTAGTACCCTTATCTTCAAGAATTCATGTAATTCTTATTCTCAAGTTATTTAAAAGTGTTTTTCTTTTTCCACAGACTGTCCTTCATCCACCTGGGTTCAGTTCCAAGACAGTTGTTACATTTTTCTCCAAGAAGCCATCAAAGTACAAAGCATAGAAGATGTCAGAAATCAGTGTACCAACCATGGTAAGCTTATTTTTTTGTTTTTTCACAAATTAGTAAAGTGTTCACTAATTTCTTTTAAAAAATAGTTTTGTCACATCTCACTTCTAACTGGTCTTTTTTAATGTACAACTTTTTTCTGCCACTCACAAGCCAAAGACAGTGGAATTGGGTGTCTATTTAATCCTTGAGTTTGAAGATCGTTGTTGGATAGTACTATCCAAAGCAGTGTGACAGAACATTAGCAACATCAGTTTCTATCTAATGTGGGTACCCTGTGCCAGACACTGTGCTTCGGCATATCATATACTTTACCTAGCTTTAATGATCATAACAAACATATCAAATAGTTTATTATTACCCCCCTTTTATCAATTAAGTTGTTCTTTATTCAAGGTCACAAAGATTATAATTGGCAGAGCCAGGATTCAAACCCAGGTCTGCGGATTTTAGGCTTATAGTTCTTAGTCACTTTGTTATTCTACCCTGAAAGTGCTGTTTCAGGCATGCAGTGTGGGCAGAAGTCAGATTACACAGGACCACGAAAAGTGAGACTGTGGTAAAGAAGAGCACAGTAACAAAAAATGATGAAACTACTACTTGCTAGAGCATACACTCAGTGTTCTCTAGGAAATGTACTTATAATTTCACATTGTGAAATATTTTAAAGAAATAATGTCATTTCTTAAAATGTGTACTTGGAGGTGTGCTTTATATATTTGGCCCAAAGTGCATCTTTTTGTTAAACCTCTAATTGTCACAATACTCATTAGCCCAAACTAAAATTATGATGTGAGCTAGCATCTTTTTCAACTGAAATGTCTAAGCTGGTGACATGAGAATCTTTGATTCTTTAAAGGTGCTTTTATTACGGTACGAGACCTAAAAAATTTTTTTCTTGTTCATGTCATTAAATTTTGTCTTAGGCATATTCACAACTCCAGCATTCAGCAATGCCCTTTACATAAAAAGCACAATTTCTGACAACCCACTAATGTAACATTTTGGAAGGGTATCAAATTCTATTTGGGATATCTTAATTAAAATCATATTCACTTATTATAGAAGGAATAAAAGTAAACAGAAGTTTTTAATCCTAGTAAAGTGCCATATAGTACTTAATACTTTGTTTCCCCTTGAAAAATTCTTACCTGCCAAATGGTGTTGAACATTGGTTCTTTGAAAATAAGACAAAATTTCCAACATGCCTATATGATTTTATTTCAAGGCAATTGAATAAAGTAATAGCAATTTTGCTGGTCAAAAATTATAAGATTTTCCAAATGGAATTTCCCTACAACTGTTTTTTTTAAAAAAAAACAATTTATGTTAGATATACTTAGACATAGGTTTCAATAACATGTTATATTAGAGACCGAGAGCCAACTAAAGACATGTTCTATACTCTTATTAGCTTCTGTGAACCTTAAGATCAAGGTTCATTGTCAAGCTTTATTATTTATCTTGAAGTTAAGCAACTGTTTATAATAGAGACATAGTTAATAGTTGCTGACCAACTTCTTCTACAAGAAGTAGTTATTTTCTTTAGCAATCAAAGCAAAACTAAATTTAAAATAGCCAGCAACTTTATGACCTGATTTTTGATTGCTTGTTTCAAAGTCCATTAACTCTTCTTGTTGAAGCAGGGTAGCCATTTAGAAATTTTAAATTGTTGTGTACAAATATGCTTATAAAATTTGTCTTGTGTCTGAAGAAAACTGTCTTCTTCGTTACAAATTTATAAATTTAGTTCACCTTACTGATTTTTTTTTTTTGGCTGGCCAGTACAGGGATCAAACCCGACTTTGGTGTTATCAGCACCACACTCTAACCAGTCTTACTGTTTGATTTTTTAAAGTTCCTCATGCATTTCAAATAACCCTTCCATTTATTTGATAATCCTATACATTTGCTTCCACCCCAGAAATACCCATTTTATCTATTAATCAGAAATTAGCTAAATTTAATTAGTATTACTGTTACTTATTTTTGGCTAGGGTAGTGTTTTGGTTTAGAACAGTAGTAGGTCAACATGAATTGTGTTTTCTCTGCCATGTATGAAGAAAAAGTATGAGGAATACTAGAATATTTTACATTTGCATAAAATCTTCACAGCCACACAAAGTCATATCTTGAATCTATCATTTGGGTATAGAAAGTAAGTGACTTGTTACTTTTTGGGCTGCAGAGAGCTATATATTTATGAATATTCCCAGTGCTTTGTGCTAACTTAATGTTACTTCTCATTTTTGCTACTATTTTTCATTTATGAAAATAATTGTGAGAAGCTAGAATTTTTATTTGCAACATTTGCCTTTAATTTCTACATTATCTATCACAACAAATAATAAATATTATCAGTCTACCCTTTTTGTGATATATGAGCTTTGTCATTAGCCATAAAGAGAATTAAAGATCCCAATTATATCCTAGCAGGTAGTGTCACTGGTAATGCAATGTAAAAAAATTTGCCTAGGCACATTCGTTCTTTAGAGATTTATGCTGTCATTTGTTAAAGGAAATGAAAGTGTGTCTTATTTCCCTGACATAATTTAAATCTATACAGTATTTAATTAGATTACAATGTTAAAAATCATTAAAATCCCATTGGCTGCTACAAAGTCAAAGAAAAGGACAAAAAACTCATCTTTGGATACTTACGCCTAAACTATAACCTAGTTAAATATTTCCCTTGAGGATTTTTCTAGAGTGGCATTTTGGTCACATTTCACAAATAAGTACTAGGGTAAAACAGATTAAATGTCTGTATGACATTTGAAAGACAGGAGGTGACTGCAGCTGGAGCTAATAGGAAAACCATCATAGAGTTTTTAAAAATGGAGAACTGACTCAGAGAACCTTGCTGAATTCTGACTTTGGACTAATTAAAGTATTTAGTATTTTAAAAGTTAGTCTTATTTTTTCTTTTGTTTAATTTCTTTCTTAATTATGCAATTAATGCATGAAACTTAAAAACTTAAAAAGAAATATGCAAGTATTTTAAAAATAAAACAAGTATCACCCTAAATCATACCACCCTAAGGTAATGATTAACGTTTTAGTATCTATGCTTCTAGATTTTCCCCCCATGTAAATATATTTTAATAAATTTTTTCTAAAATGAAAATGGGATCATACTAGGCAAACTGTTCTGTAATCTGCATTTTTCCTTAAAAATGTCCGTGACAGTAAATATACAATGCGTATTTCCTAACTGTACATTATTCAATTCTAAAGATATGACACAATTGATTTAATTAATCCTTTAACACTGTTAAAGCTATGGTTTCCCATCTTTCAGTGTCACAATATGATGAACAGTAATGATTGTGTCTATTTGAGCAAAGAGCAATGATTACTGTAGCATAAATTAAGGACAAGGAATAGGTACTTGTTTTAGAGCTTTTGAATCATCTTGCCAAATTCTCTCCAAAAAGGTTGTACTTTTTATTCTGACTAGCTGCTTATTAGTTCCTATTTTTTTACACTTGAGTCAGCACTGTTTAATCTAAAAGTCTGAAAGTTTGCTTATTTTAATTTTCATCTCTTTACTGAAATTGAGCTTTTCACACATTTCCTATGTTATATTTTTCCTTTTGTGAGGGTGAACTGGCAAGTTGCCTGTTTAAGAGTCTGAGACCAATTTTTCCCCCATTAAGGCATTTGCCTTTTTTACTTATAATGCAGCCTTAGTCTACCCAGTTTGTGATTTTTCTCTTTAACAATAGGGTATGGTTTTTGGAGATTTTTGGTCCTATGTTTTTTTTCCCTCCTGTAGTTAAATTTATGTATTTTTAAAGGGGACGCTTTTAAAAGATGTAAGGTGCAATTTATAATAATGCATCATTTTTACATACCTCGTGATTTTCATTGATTCTGGAACATGCTTTTTTCTTTAAATCAGGAGCAGACATGATAAGCATTCATAATGAAGAAGAAAATGCTTTTATACTGGATACTTTGAAAAAGCAATGGAAAGGCCCGGATGATATCCTACTAGGCATGTTTTATGACACAGATGGTAAGTGATACTTACCTGTGGGACATGACTTTGCTTTTCTCTCTTTACTGATGGCTTTTAGATTCTTCAGTTCTCTAGTTTGAGATGAAGTTTCCTGTGGCCTTCAGGTATTGCATTTTTTACTCTGCACCTGTATTAGTCTGTTTTGTGTTGCTATAACAGAATACCTGAAACTGGGTGATTTATAAAGAAAAATGAAATTTATTGCTTACAGTTACTGAGGCTGGGAAGTCTGAAGTTCATCTGGTGGTGGTGACAGTGACTCAGGGGTCTCACATTACAAAATGGTGGGAGTAAAGAGAGCAGAGAGAGTGCAAGAGAAAGACAGAATCTCCTCCTCTTTTACAGCCCTTAGAACCATGCCCCTGACCACCATTTTTAATCAATTCTCTATGGCATGGTCCTACAATCCAATCACCTCTTCAAGGCTCCCCCTTTCAATTATCATAATAGGATTTACCACCCTCTTAACAGTCACAGTGGGGGTTTAGTTTCAATACATAAAACTTGGGGGATACAATTCAAGCTTCAGTGAGTTTTGGGGGGACATAATTCAATGCACTACAGCACCTATGATTTATACTACAGCTTTCGAGTAGCTCAGTTGAGCCATAGTTGAATCTTGTCTGTATTACCATGTTAGGTTTGTAGGCTCAGTATTTTTGTAATATGGCTGGGCCATAAAAACTAGTATGAGTGTCAGCAATTGATAGGATAAGGATAGGCCAAATTATCAAGGTTATATTATGAAAATGTATTTATCATCACTATAGGAAAAAATAGTCATATATAAACATTTTCAAATGAATACACTAAGGTTACTATTAATACTTTAACTATTTTTATCTTGACTTTTCCCCCTTAAGCCAATTTATTTGCCTGTACATAGGATATATTCCTCCTTTTAATTTTAATCCTACAGTTTAGACCACACATACCTTAGTAACTTCCTACCTTTAATCCTAGACCCTTTTCTTTAGATTTCTTTTAAACCCTTTTAAACTGTCATAATGTTGAAAATATTTCTTCACTAACAGATGCGAGTTTCAAGTGGTTTGATAATTCAGATATGACATTTGATAAGTGGACAGACCAAGAAGATGGTGAGGATCTAGTTGACACTTGTGCTTTTCTGCACACCAAGACAGGTGAATGGAAAAAAGGAAATTGTGAAGTTTCTTCTGTGGAAGGAACACTTTGTAAAGCAGCTAGTAAGTATAATTGAAGGTCTTTTTCCATTCTAAGAGGGGTGGGGAACTAGGGCTGATTTTCAAACAGTTTTGAGATGTGTGCCTCATTAAATAGAGGGAGTAAGACACATAGTAGGATGGTTTGTTCCCAAGTCTCTTGGAAGTCAAATATGTAATTCTCTTACATTTCAGAGGTGGTAGGGCCAGATCATATAATTTTATTCCATCTGCTTAGTCTTAAGAGTTTTCAAGAGGTCTTTCTTGAGATCCCTTATTCTTTTTCCACCATCCAAGTTAATGCATTAAGTCTCTACATCCTTCTTTAAAAACTAAGTTCAAAACAGGTAAGAGACAATTAATGAAGCAATAGAAATATGGATATTAAGCTATTAACGATTCATTTTTGATGACTAAAAATGTTTAAAGTCAATCTTATAATAAAGCATAAATTTTAATTTTTATTTTCTTTTGTATTTTAGTCCCATATAAAAAGAAATATTTATCAGGTAAGTAATGGTCTGGCCTTAACATTTTTCCCAAAATTAAAAATATATTAAAATTCTGGAATGTTAAAACATTACTACAGACTTTTAAAAAATTAATCAAATAATATAAAGTAGAACTTTTATAAGAATGTAGAAAGATCTCAGACATTTTTAATATGTTACTGTAAGTTATGTATGACGTGTATTTTTTTTTACACCAAATTATATTTTCATTGAACTCCATTATGTTTTTCTGGGAAATGACTCTGCATCTTCAGTTTTAAAAAGTTTCACCTTGGGGCCGGCCTGGTGGCGCACTGCTACAGTGCGCCGCTTGGGAGTGTGGCGGCGCTCCCGCCAAGGGTTCGGATCCCACATACAGACCGGTTCCCGCTCACTGGCTGAGCGAGGTGCGGGCGCAGCACCGAGGGTTGCAATCCCGTTGCCGGTCCCGGTCTGGTACAGGCGCGACACTGAGGGTTGCGATCCGTTGCCGGACACAAAAAAAAAAGACAAAAAAAAAGTTTCACCTCACAGTTGTAATGACAATTTATAAATCATGTCTTATGGGCTTACTAAATGCATTTTTTAAAAGAAGGAACAGGTAATTTTTTTATGTTGTTCAAAAATCAAAACTATAAGGCCGATACTGCCCCATCCACCTTATACTATATTTATCCTTATTGGACACCATTTTACTCAGTTTTTTCTTTAACCTTCTAGCTGTTTCTTTTACTAATATAAGCAAATTGATATAGGACTTATTTTGCCCCATTAATTCACTAATATATTCTAGAAATCTCTCCATACCATTACCTATAGATTGAACTTTTTACAACTGTATACTCTTCCATCATATGGATGTACAGTTATTTAACTAGCTTCAGACCCTACTCAGCTGTTTCCAAACATTTGCTATTATAAACAATGCTACAAAGAACAAATCATCTTGCAAAATACAAGATGATTATCTGTAGATTCCCTGAAATGCAAGTGCTGAATTGAAAATGGATCTGTAACTGATTAATATTGATATTGTTCTAAAGTTGTACCATTTTGCATTCCCAGTAGCAATGTGTGTGTTATGATTCGCCAGTTACATAGTATCGATTTTATTCTTCATATTAAGGTATAATTTTACAGAGTAAAATGTACAAATCTTAAATGTATAGCTTGATGAATGTTTATGTATTCACCTGTGTAACTACCACTCAAATCAAGACATGAAACATTTCCATCACCCCCAGAAAATTCCCTTATTTCCATTCCCAGTGAATGTCCATCCTTCCACCACCCACCATAGAGGTAACCATTATTCTGATTTTCATCCCATTGATTATAACTTCCTGTTCTTGAACTGCACAGTACATGTATTCCATAGTATTTTGTCTGGCTTCTTTCACTCGTTTTTTTAAAAAAGATTCATCTGTGTTATGCACATACGTGATACTTTTTTTTTTTTTCCCCTTTTTGTCTTTTTTCATGTCCGGCAACGGATCGCAACCCTCAGTGTTGCGCCCGTACCGGACCGGGACCGGCAACGGGATCGCAACCCTCGGTGTTGCTCCCGCACCTCGCTCAGCCAGTGAGCGGGAACCAGTCTGTATGTGGGATCCGAACCCTCGGCGGAGCGCCGCCGCGCTCCCAAGCGGCGCACTGAAGCAGTGCGCCACCGGGCCGGCCCCCATACGTGATACTTTTTTGTTGCTTCATAGTATTTTATTTTATAAATATATCACCTTTTGCCCATTCTCGTTTATTGATATTTGGATCATTACTAGTTTGGAACTAATATAAATACAGCTGCCTGTGGATGTTCATTCACATATGACTTTTTCTGGACCTATGTTCTTATTTTCTTGAATATATTGCAAAAGTTGGAATGCTGGGTCATAGGGTAGCTACATGTTTAACTTTACTAGAAACCACCAAGTATTTTTTTGAAGTGGTTGAACCATGGTCCATTTGCTCCACATTCATCCCACGCTGGTATTGTCAATTTCTTCAATTTTAGCCATTCATATGGCTGTGTATTTTTTTTTTCATTTTCGTGAAATGAAATGTGAAAAGGCTGAGCACCTTTTCCCATGCTTATTAGCCATTCGTATGACTTCCTTTGTGAAATGCCTGTTAAGTCTTTTGTCCATATTTCTTACTGGGCTACCTTTTTTATTTATTGGTAGGTTAAAAAAAATCATTTTTTTAAATTAAAAAAAAATTTTTAATTAAGCTTTGATTGACTCCTTGCCAGATATCATGAATATCTTCTGTTTGGGGCTTACTATGATAGAACTGTGATGGAGAAGGAAAAGAGTGTAAGAATTTGTTATATAGCTGTATCCTCAATTCTTCTACAGGAAGACAATACAGCATTTAAAAAAGTCTAAAAAAGCATCACATCACACCCATTAGCAACTAAAAACAAAACAAAACAGACAATTACAAGTGCTGACAAGGATGTATAGCAATTCAAACCCTTGTGCACTGTTGGTGGGATTGTAAAATGTGCAGCCACTGTGGAAAACAGTACGGTGGCTCCTCAAAAAATTAAAAATAGATTTACTATATGATCCAACAATTCTACTTCTGAATATATAACCTAAAAAACTGAAAGTAGGGATTCAAAGAGGTATTTGGGCACCCATGCTCACAGCAGCATTATTTGTAGTAGCCAAAAGGTGGAAACAACCCAAGCGTCCATCAGTGGAGGAAAGGATAAACAAAATGTGGTATATACACACAATGGAATATTATTCAGTCTTAAAAGGGAAGGAAATTCTGACACATGCCACAACACGTATGAACTTGGAGGACATTAGGCTAAATGAAATAAGCCAGTCACAAAAAGACAAACACTGCATGGTTCCACTTACATGAGGTCTGTAGAACAGCCAGCCTCATACAGACAGAAACTAGAATGGCGTTTGCCAAGGGCTGAGGGAGGGAGAAATGGGGAATTACTGTTTAACAAATACAGAGTTTCAGTTTTGCAAAATGAAGAGTTCTATGGATGGACAGATGGTGGCGATGTTACACAGTATTAATGTACTTAATGCTACTGAACCGTCGTACACTTAAGATGGTAACAACTTGTTATGTGTGTTTAACCACAATTAAAAAAAACTTTTTAAATCAAGAAAAGCAGTGTATGCATGTTATTCAGAAGTAGAGGTAACAGTAGTTAATTTTAAGGAATGGGCATTAAGTGGGTGAGAAGTAGTGGGACAGGAGCAGTGTTTTTTCATTACATACCTTCTGAAAGGAACTGACTTTTAAGCTATGTACATATATATGCTTTGGGAAAAAAAAAATAGGTAAATTGAAACATGTTTAGAGAAAAGCAAGTAGGTCTATGATGGGCCTCAAAACTGTCAGGAACCATCAAAATATCAAACAACATTTGGTGTTTAGACTCCGGAGAAAGCATTATCTTTGCATTCATTTAAAAAATAAGTGTGTGTATAAGTTAGTGAACAAAAACTATGTGCCAGGCTTTCTTGTGAAGTTAAGACATTGAAGACAGAGCAATGAGCAAAGCAGAAAAAGCTTCTGATCTCGAGCTTACATTCTAGTGGGAAGGGTAAAATAAAAATATAAACAAATATATGACACATCAGATAGTGATATATATATACTGTACAGAGAAAAAGCAGAATAAGGATGAATGTGAGTGCAAGGAGAAGGGAGGTACTGATTATATATATATATATATATATATATATATATACACATTTTTTTTTTCTTAGTAGGGTGGCAAGGGAAGGCCTCAATGATAAGGCCGTATTTGAGCAGAATGAAGATCTAAAAGAAGTGAAAGGATGTTTGAAAGCCTATCATACAGAGAAGGATTAGGTTTCGTTTGACTTTAAGGAATAACAATAGAACCAGAGTTGAAGCAACAAGGAGACTAACAGTGGAAGTACACCTACAACCTTGGCAGACAGGGAGTTCCCTTTCATACAAGTGTAAGCTGGAAGACCCCCGAGAATACTAAGAGAATTAAGGTGGCTAAACTAGAATGCACATAAGTGTGGTAAGCATCTGGGAAAGGGGAAATGACCCCAAGCTGAATTCAGCAAATGTTACTGAGATGACGCAGGAATTTCTTTTCCTCATACATAAAACAATTTTTTGCTATTGGTTATGAACATTCATGATACAAAGCTGACTGTCACCCCTCATGCCCAAGATGTGAGGCCAGATCCATACTGGCAGCATATTACCACAAACTGTGAGTGTACCCCATGTCCCCCACGCAATTATCCCCAACCTCCCACCCGCTCCCCCTTAGGAGTTAAATCTTGAAGGGAATGTAGTTACCGGGCAGGAGAGGAAAGGCTATCCAAGATGAGGGATTTAATTTTTGTTGTTACTTTTTTTTTTTTCCTTTTTGTCTTTTTTCGTGTCCGGCAATGGATCACAACCCTCGGTGTCGCGCCCGCACCGCGCTCAACCAATGAGCGGACCAGTCTCTATATGGGATCCGAACCCTCGGCGGGAGCGCCGCTGCGCTCCCAAGCACCGCACTCTACCGAGCCGGCCCTTGTTGTTATTTCTTTTTTTTTTTTTTTTTGTCTTTTGTCTTTTTCCGTGTCCGGCAACGGATCGCAACCCTCAGTGTTGCCCCCGTACCGGACCAGGGACCGGCAACGGGATTGCAACCCTTGGCGTTGCCCCTGCGCCTCGCTCAGCCAGTGAGCGGGAACCGGTCTGTATGTGGGATCCGAACCCTCGGGCGGGAGCGCTGCTGCGCTTCGCAAGCAGCGCACTTATCCAGTGCGCCACCGGGCCGGCCCCCTTGTTGTTATTTCTTAAGTGGACTTGGGCAAGTCATTTAAACTGTGCCTCAGAATTAAATGTACACATATAGCACCCAATAAAAACATTAATCTGTGGTTAGAGTCCAACTCAAAATTTCACGGTTAGTTTTTAAGAGATGGATTTGAGGCCTCAGGTGATCAGTGTTAGAACCAAGGTATGAAGGTGGGAGGAAGATAAATGATCAGATATGAAAAAGGTTAAAAAGAACGTGTAGTCTTCATAATCAGCGGGGAGGCAGTCTAGGAAAACTAGATTGGACTGGGCAGTAGCTAGTTACAGGAATCCAAGAAGAATGGATTTGGGAGTAAAGTGCGGAGGGGCATTGGCTACACATATATACTTATCTATAATTTACATAAGACTCAATTGGTTGAAATCAACCATGGAAAGTTTTGAGTACACAAAGTTGATTAGGAAGGAGTCTGAAGGAAGGCAATTTTAGGGAAGCCTAGTGAGAACACTTTAAGGCTAGATGTCGAACAGTTGAGTGGCCTCAGGGTGAAGTTGTCCATGTGTTGATGCATTTAGTCATGTAAAGATCATTAGTGACCTCTGCCACAGCAGTTTCATATCAAAGGTTGAGAAGATGGATTGTACGGGTTTGAGAAATGACAGGGAAGTGAAAACTTATGTGTCAGTAGGTTTCTCACCCTCCCTTAATGAAGCTGAAGAACTTTATTTTTTTAAATTGGGATTAGGTGTTAGATAATAGCAATATGTTCAGTTAAGCAATGGATTTTTTTCCCTTTAATTAGTGAAGTAGATAATAGATTTCCTAATGTAGAACTAGCCTTTCCTCTAGAAACAAACTTTACATATAGTTTCAATGCACTGCTAATCAGCTGCCTTGAGACTGGCTTTGTCCCACATTTTAGCTGCATGCAGCTAGCCAACTAAAAGCCCCAGAGGCAAGTTGGCCACAAGTCACTTGCAGAATGTGAAAATACAAGGAGCATGTATACTTACTGTGTCCCACCAATCTTGGATACTGTCTAGTTCTTAGGACACTAGGTCTTTCAATGTTCCGTTAAGCTGTGATTATGAGTTTGCAAGTCATTCTCAGTTATCACGCTCCTTCAGTCCAAAGTTTACTTTTAGTTTGACTGTATTGCTGATCATGTAATCACTATTTAGGTACTACTGATTATAAAAGTATTATTGTACATTCGTAAATATATTAAAAAGTGTGTTCACATTGGTAAAGTTAGGGTGCTATACTGAAAATGGTCTGTTAAGTTTAATAAAAGTACTTAACTGTGAAAGAATCCCATTTGAACTCAGTTTACAGAATCCTCGGCTTTTTTCATTTTAATGTCTCCAATAATAACCACACTCTCACCCCTGCATTTTACCAAATTTTTAACACTATGAAATTTTATTTTAGGATCAAAAAGAAAATTCAGTTGCAGCCATTTTCTCACTCCACCCAACTGTGTTTATAAAGAATGTCAAATTTTTAAAAATATCAATGTCTTTCCCTCACCTTAACAAATGACTTCTGGTCAGATTTATCTCACTAACATTTAATTCTTCCAGGTCTCATTTTAAGAAGCACTAATAGATTTAAATAACCAAACATGCATCTGTAAAGAAAAAATAATTCTGAAATTTTTTCACATTCTTTTGGGTCCTTTATTACTACACGAGGGTACTTCAAAAAGTTCATGGAAAAAGAGAATTAAAAGAAATGAATCTTCCGTGACGTTTTGAAGTAACCTTATATATATAATACAAATACTTTCCCCAAATAATTTTCCTTTTCCTAACTTCTAAACCAAATAATTCCCCTAGATTTATTAAACTAAATTCTTACAGAAAGATTACAAAGGTTTTGAATAGGAAGAGCAGCGAGGTTGTGCATACTAACAGAACTTCAGGAAAACACAATATACAGTGTTACTTGAATGAATGTAAAGAAACAATAAAGCTCTTGGTGTTTACTCAGTGAAACAAATCTTAAATCCCAAAAACCAAGTGAACCATTAAACCATTAAGCCTCATTAACGTAACCAATATCTAAATAATATTCCTGAAGACAGTACTAGGTCTTAATTTGTAAAGTCTTAGATCAGGAAACAAAACAAAAAAGCCCCCCCGCCCCAAACGCCAAGGAAGACAAAACAGGACCTTGGGGTACCTGGGTGATTTCAATTTCAAGATCTTCAGTAGAGAACTGCAAAATTTAGATGAAATTTTGAAGTCTTGCCACTTTTCAGGCTAAGAAATATAAATCTTGACAGTAATAAATATATTTTCTCATCTGTGTGGAAAATTCTCAATATAGAGAAATAGTTGCATGATGGAACACTTGTCCTCCCACAAAATGCAATACTTGCAACTTTTGTACCCTGATTTCCCATATATTCTTGTCTTTTCTTTTTCAGATAATCACATTTTAATATCAGCTTTGGTGATTGCTAGCACAGTAATTTTGACAGTTTTGGGAGCAATCATTTGGTTCCTGTACAAAAGAAATTCTGCTTCTGGCTTCACCACAGTTTTTTCAACTGCATCCCAATCACCTTATGACGACGACTGTGTTTTGGTAGTTGAAGAAAATGAATATGCTGTTCAATTTGACTAGTTTTTGGTAATCTCAGACTAGACATTAAATGCCTTGACAGCAATTCCTGTGCAAGACTTTAATATAAAACTTGATATTGAAAATTATAGCTTTTATGGTATTCCTTATTCCAGTAACATTTTCATGTATTCATCAATTGTGACAAAAATTAACCTTTGTTTGTTATAAAAACAGTTTTAAAAGAAGGAATGCTCTTAGATTTAATTTGGTAGTTTTAATCACCTGTTCAAATGCAGAACCTTTCAGATGAAGGGGAGCTTGAAGCCCAAGTAGTAAACCAGATAAAATAAAAACTCAGCCTACTTGTCTTACCTCCTCTATCTTTCCTTCCATTTAGTTGAACCAGTTTACTTTACGGTTTAACTGCCTTGTTCCTTTATTAATAAATAGTAAATATGATGAATTAAATCTAATTTTAAAATAGATTCTATACATTTAAATAATCTTGATACTTGTTATTCTGGCAGATAATTCCTTTAGTATTTTTATCTTCATGATTTAGATGAAAAAAACTACAGATTTTTACATCCCATACTCCACATAATTATGCAGTTTTTTTTAGACATTCCATTTTGGACCACAAGCACTGATCGCAAGTGATTAAAATTTTATAAATTTTTTGTAACAAAAAATTATAGCTGTGTCCAGGAAGGCGTGGAGAAGGCTGGTGATGAGGTTAACACTTACATCATAGTGCCGCTTTAAGGATTATTCTCCTACCACCATAACTTTTCCTATACAAGGTATCTCATGCTCCCCAAGCATTTATAAATTTTTTTCTTCAATGCCATGGGAACTGTAAGCAAAGACTGAAGAAAAACATTAAGTACGTTAGTAGTGATGCTGATCAAAGTTTCCAGTACATTTTAAGGGTGAAAATAATCATTTTGGGAGTAAAAAATGAAAATGGAGGAAAGCAGAAATGAGTGATTTTCTTTACCATCTTTTATAGCTCAAAAAGAGTATTAGAAAAGATAAGGAATGGCTAGGCTTCACACAAAATTATACTTACTATTCTTAGAAGCTTTACAGCTCAAGGAAAGTAATCTCTCTCCTGAACCCATGCTCCATCAATTCTTATTAGGAATAATTTTCTTATGGGGAGAAATTCTCTCTCTAGCGTGGCTAATGGCAGCAAAGTCGCAGATCGTGTCACCTGTTTTCAGTGACCACTATACTATGAATCAAAAACATCCCTTATTACATTTAATGGCACTACTGTTAATGAGACACAGATAACTACAAAGTAGTGATAGACAACTATAAACAGTGTGGCTATGTGGTACTAAAAGATCAAGTGTTATACTAGCTGTATTACATGAACACAACTATGCTAAGAGCTTTAAATTTCTGCGATTTTGTGTAGTGGCTGAGATGTCTATTTTATTATTGATAGCCTGTTGATAGTGCTAATAGTGAACTTTGGCCTGGAATTCCTTCCTTCTTTTTCTACCCAAATTCTACCATTCATTTAAGAATTAAGACCAATCTTATCACTTCCCTAAAACAGGCATGTGGCTATTTAAATAACTTAAAATGAAATACAGTTTAAAATTCAGTTCCTCAATTACATCAGCCACATTTCAAGTGCTCAGATCACATGTGGTTAGTGGCTACCATATTGGACAGCATACATTACAGAAAATTTCCATTATTACAGAAAGTTTTTCTGGATGACGCTGCTCTAGAATATTCCCTTCAACTCCCACACAACTAATTTTCTTCTGTATGTTTTAACAATTTCTACCTAATGGCAGCTCTTCCAACATGGCTGTTTTAAACTGTGATGTAATTTTCAATCTTTGATTTCACTTTTCAACAGGTCTAGAAGTCCCTGGTAATACAAGTGCTAAATCTTAACTTTCTTTATATATTACAACTTCTTTAACAGGCCCTTATATCTATTCATTTTGTCAACAGATGCAGTTCAAGTGCCGCATATCGATATTTTGGTCAATGATGAACCACATATATGATGGTGGCCAATAATACTATAACGGAGCTGAAAAGTTTGCTTTCTATGTTTAGATACATAAATGTTTACCACTGTTACAACTGCCTACAGTATTAGTACAATAACATGCTATACAGGTTTGTAGCCTAGCAGAAATAGGCTATAACTTCTAGGTACCTGGAAGTACACTCTGTGATGTTTGCACAATGATGAAAATTCCTAAAAATGCCATTTCTCAGAATGTATTCCTGTTGCTAAGCAATGCATGACTATACTTGGATCATTTAAGCCTGTATTTCTAATATTAAGGATAATATAGGCAAGACTGTTTACTACATTCAGAATGTAGAAATTGCTTTCTTCAACATCTTAGTTCTAGCTAATAATGAGAATATAATTCTTATGCGAGGCAGATATTTACACAGAATAACACTTTTACCTACGTTTTCTGAGGATTTGCATTCTTTGTAGAGAGCAGTGTATGGTTTCTTTATTATTGTTCAGAGTTTAAAACTGAAAACCAATAGACTTCTCTCTTAGACCTTCTTATTCCAGTAGTATCACACTTACATGATATCAGAAACTAATATGACAATATTTAAATACTAAGTGGTACTAAAGAACTATAAGAATACATAAGGCTCAGGCCACTGTCTGTTATCACTGTCACTTAGTATTTAATGACAAAACTATATATGAATAAATTATATCACAACAATGGAATGCTTTCTACCATTTAAATTTATAAATAAAAAAATTTGTGGGTTAAGCAGACACTTTTCATACTGAATTCTACAAAAAATATAAATATTTCAAATTCAAAACATCCCTAAGGACCTACAGAATATATTAAAACTGGCATCCTCAGATTCTGTATTTTTGCTTCAGGTAAGACAATGCAAAGATAACAAGCAAGAATTGAACAAATGTTTTAGAAATATTTGTATTATTGTATGAAATGGGATTTCATTTGAAATTTTAATAAAATTCTTAGTTACAGGGTTTGAAGTCTTCTTTGAGGACCAGTTTAAAAGGAAACATTCAAACTGTAAAATAAATCAATCAGTATGCACTTTATTTAAAGCCAAGGTTTTACATAAGACCAACAAACTGACTTAAGTGTGGGCAAATTGTTCATTCACGTTTGAGAAATTACACGGTTTCTATATAGGTTCTGATAAAGTAGCTTGTTGCCATACTATCAGAATTTAACCTGAAACCACCTGAAGGTGTTTTTAAGTGTATCCTAATGGTACATACAAAGGAAAACTACAGTGTTATAGAAGTTTACACAAGTCATGACCACAGTGTAAGACCCATTCATGGTGAATAGGTAATGTTCATCTGTTCTCCAAAGATAGTGAAAAATATTAGTAAGTCATCAAATAAATGCTCAGAATTATCAAGAAACAGTTAAAAAGGACCAGGATCCAAACAAGTTATTTGTATCTTATTTATCTATAAAAGAAGTGACAACACTAAAAAACATATTGAAAACCAGTGTTTTAAACTTTGAATGTGGGATTTTAAAATAAATCATTACCTTTAGATTGCAATTATTCTTTTTTTTTTTAACCAAACAGCATTTACGGGCAATTCTGATATAATTTACAGCTGTGATATTCCTAAGAGGAATATCTATAAACTATGGCCTATCAAATATAATCTGCATTTTGCAAATCAATACAAAAATTTATCCATCATTTATATATTTTATGTTTATATACTTTTTTAAAAATTATTTTACTGCTAAATGAATTTAAATTCAAATTAAATTTGGAAACCTAATATTATGCTGCTCTTCATAACCTCCTCCCCATTCCTTTTATTTTTATTTTTAAACACTGGAAGCAAATGATTATCAAAATGAGACTGCAATTTAAGGCATTTTAAAAGAAAAAATAATTAGGTGCCAACTGGCATTTTATTTCAAAAGCATATTTTGTCCCACTTTTCTCACTAGCAAGAGACTAAAACACAAACCTTTTTTTTTTTTTTAAATATGACTACAGTAATCAGAACACAAAAAAGGGTTAATGGACATTAGATATTTAAAACGAGAGTAATACATTCCCACTCACCTAAAAGAAAAACTTTTGATTACCAGTTTATAAACATCAGGTTAGCTGGCCAAGTTAAAAGGTCCAGCAGTAAAATTTTAATTCAGTAATACTTGAGAACGAATATATATATACATGCATACATGTGTATATATATATTCGCTTTATATAGAGTTAGCTGGCCAAGTTAAAAGGTCCAGCAGTAAAATTTTAATTCAGTAACACTTGAGAACGAATATATATATACATGCATACATGTGTATATATATATTCGCTTTATATAGAGAGTCAATGTATTTAACAGGCAATCCCCCACAAAATTAATTCATTCTTAATTGCCAGTTTTAATAAACACTTGTTCACAGATCGTCCATTTGTCTTATATGAAGTTAGGCAATATCAAACGTTCTGTTATGGTCTCCATCTTCTTCGGATTCATCCTCTGAAGCTGTTGAAAGAAAACAGGATAATCAATGATTTTAAGGGGGATGAGAATGGGAGGGATAAATATGAAGCCAGAACAGCAATGACTTGTAAAACAAAAATCCCAATTTAGTATACTGTTTGGTCAGAATGATAAGTTATCATGACAGGGTTAGGGTGGTTTGACTGTGGGTGATGCCCATCCACAACGCCCCACCCCCATATCTTTTTGTAATGTTATATAGTTTTTATAAAAATGAAAATGCTTAAAATGTGGTTCAAAAGCATCTTCTAAAATATTTCTGAGAACAATTCGTGTTCATAGTAGCTAATGATATATACACTAGAGAAAAAGTGAATTTAAGGCAAGTGTTCTCACACACCTGAGTAGAATCTGGCTTATTACCACTGCATGTTTGATGCATCCAATGAGAACAACAAAAAAAATGTACACAGAATAATATGTTATGGGTGTTCTTGTGATTTACATCAAAGCTATGTCTATACAATGCCAAGATAAAGCTCTATTTAGTAAGCCAAAAAAGCTTTATATAGACACAGCCTAAGTTAAAGTAATTGGAATCACTAAAAACCTGTTGTTGAGATTATTCCCATGTCTCCACAAAGTCAGAAACTTGCCACTTTTGCAATACGTTTCTGACTTCAACTTATACAAGAGTCACTAGCAGCTCAAGAGTTAATATAAAGCACCCCAGATTGTCTTTTGGAAGGACACCATAGGTATAAAATTATGTATTCTGTAAACTGTTCTGCATGTGAAGGAAAATGAAAGTTCACTAAAATATACATCCAACCAGCATCTCCCCCGATTATCAAAAGCAGAAAAGTTTAATGTACTCTTTTTTTGTATTGATATTGGACAATGTAAAAGTATCCAGCAAATGGAATCAACCTAGAGCAAAGCACAGGAAAAGTATGCATCACTTATAGATGAAATCCATTTTTAATAAATGATATTAAGCATATACCTAACTTTTGACTGATAGAAATATGGTTAAGTTTTATGTTATATCATGGAGAAATATCAAACTAAAAGACAACAGCTTTTTAGGCAACTTCTTGTGTTTTCTATTTGATTAAAAACACCACAGAGGAAAATTCAGCCCAAGCCAGTTTTCAGAATATATTAATATTCTGATGTGTAGGAGTTAACCTGTAGCACCCACATCTTTCACTCTCAGCTGTGTTTGGGTATATTTCACCTCCATCTTTTTCTTCTCTCTCACATGCTGGGAGCAAATACTGTTATGTTTAAGGAACTAAATTCTAAATGAGAATGTTAGTTTTTCAAAAATTGAGAAATCAGGGGAAAACATACACTGAAACAAATTACTATCATCGCATCTGACAAAGCATAAATTATAATTTTTTAAAAACATGCAAAAAAGGAGACGTTTGTACTAACCATCATAACTGATCTGAACTAAGAAGAAAAATTACGGGAAATAATGGAAAAAATTTTTTTTACACCAAATAAATTCCCACTGACTCCTTTATTTTCACGTATACTGATTAAAATTGTGAAAATGTGTTGTCTGGTTTAATCTGAAATCCTTTTAAAACTTAAAAACAGTACAGACTTAATGACAAAAACCCATGGCTTACAATATTCAAGGAAATAAAAGGTTCTTATAAGGACCAAGTCCTTCTCAAAACTTACTTCAAAGGATACTGAGCTTTCTCTTACTATAAAAATGTTAAGCACACTACAGATAACACTCCAAGTATTTTGAAAATGAGTACACAACGTAATCATTTGGAGAATACATATTAAAAAACACTTCAAAGAGTGCACTGGAATGAAGAGCCTGTTGCTTTGGGTGAAAAAGTAAAAGGTAGGGGTTAACTGGGGTCATCTTGGATTCCCAGGACCTGTTCCAGAGCCACCAAAACCTGTGCCCACCTGGTATGAAGCACCCTGGAAGCTGTAAGACTGTGAGAAGAAGGAGGTAGGCTGTGCAGACGCCTGTAAAGATTTGGGCACAACAGTGCCTTCACATAGGAGCACAGGCAGAAGTTCTGATGCTGGAACGTGATCTTAAGAGATTGGAGCTGCTAGTGAAGCTGGCTGCCTATTAAAGGTCCATGAGGAACTAAATGAGGAGCAAAAAACAAAAAAAACAAAAACCTACAGCTTCTGTTACAGACTCAGAATCAAGGGCTCTTTCTCCCCTATTTCCTGAAACCATACATAAGCCCCAGGAAAACAATTTATGATCTAAAAGTAAAATCTCTTACAAAAAAAATTCTATCAGATTTGATAGGTAGTTAAATTTATGCTTTCTTTTTGATTACAAGTACTAAAATCAAAGTGATAAAAAATAAAATTTTATTTAAAATAAAAGTAAAAAGTACTACTGGTTAAAATTATATCCTTCCATACTTTAAAGTAAGTATACTTTTAGAAATATGCTTTTAAAACTAATGTCAGTTGCCCAACCCATATTTCCCAAATCAGTCATTTTGGGATTATTAAGCCTATAAATAAAGCTCTGATTTGGTAGAAAGGAATATATACTTAGGTTTTGCTCTATGGGTTTAATCTGCAAAAGTAAATTCAACAAGTCTGGGGAGGGGAAATTCCACCTACTTTCGAGATCTTCCATATGTGCCTGAAGAGTTCTTGCAAGGTTAATAAACTAGAAACAATGCAGAAAGAAATATGGTAGTTTAAATGCTGTAAATGGATCTAAAGAGAGAATCAGTATAGGAGATTCATTTTTACTTAAGAAGTCGAACACCATTTTAAGCCTTTAACTAGGGGTCTTTCCCCCACCACATCAAAAACTACAAGCTAAAGGGTATTATTTTCAAATATTTTGTATAATCATTATTAACCATGTAGAAAAACAGTTTCTTAGAAGTGAGATCAGATACAAAAATTTTATCTAATTGTTTTGTTTTCTTCTATAACGCTTTTAAAAGTTATGAAATGGAGGGAGAAAAAAACAAAAGCCCTTGCAATTTGGACCCAAACAAATTCAATTTTAGTGGTCAGTTAAAAAAAACCCCAAGAATCAATATTTTCCTGCCTAAATTTGATAGCTCTAGAAGTATACATTTAACAATACTTAAAAAAAAAAACATAAAAATGACTTCCACTTTAACATTAACTTTTTAATAATAACTTTTACAAACATATTAATACAAAGAAACATACGCTTTATATGATTTATTCATTCTGAAGAGTTAAGACATCTTTTTAGAAATCGTATAGAATTAACTAAAGTTAGGGGCTAATAATTTCTAAAGTACTTAGTCAAGAGATCTTTGCTCAAATTCTGAACACTCTTGACAATTCATTCTCTTTTCTCTCACTAAATCAGCTCACTAAAGTAATGTCCACAGATGATAAAAATACAGAAAAGTATTTTACTAATTTAGAAGCAGTAGTAAGTTTTCAAGATAAAAACATGAAACTTTAACATGAACTATCTACTGAATTTTTATCAAGTAAATATTTATATAAAAAATAGTTTGAAGGATATATTTATGAACACATTTTAAGATACAAAGTGTTCAGAATGCTACAGTAATGACAGATATAAGCCCTAGACTCTGCTACACAAAACACCAAGGCAGCGGAATATAAAGTCTCTTCTGGTACACTCTGGCAAACTACATCATTTACTTTAAATGCCTAACATAAACCTAGCCTAATTGTTATATTATGGTTAGTAGCGTACATATAGCAAACACCAACTAGTCCACATCTTTAAGAGTTTGTAATATAAACACTTAAATTAGTACACTGGTCATCTTTTACAGAACAGTAACAAATAAACTGAAGTTAATTTTCCATACTCTTTCGGCTTTTGGAGTTCAGTTTCAAATTTCTAAGTTATAATACTGAGGCTATTTTTTGTTTTGTTTTTTAAATTAAAAAGAACATATTCTCTTGGTGTTTCCAATTCTGTCCCTGTTTTTCATTGGAATATATTCCAATTACCTTCAAGAGCTAGAAAATTACTTCTTTCTCTAAAACAGCTTTGTGAGAAAATTAGGCTGCTTGTTGTAAAAGTAAGGAAGACAACAGCAGTTTCCATTAAATCTACAATATCCTTATTTAAAAAAAACATTTAAAATAAAAACTCCTCAAAGGAAATAGGATGCAAACATATAAAACAATCTGCTTTTCAAGGCCAACATTTGCTGTATCACACCCTCCCTCTCTCCCACTCTAATATTACTTACTCGGACACGTGTGCTTGGTTCATTTGTATTTCCCATCATATCAGAAAAACTTTGTTCACACAAGTGCAATAACACAACTAGGTAGAGACCAGAGCTGATAAACTCATACTCAGCCTTCAATAGGGAAGGAAACAGGAGAAAAGGAAAAATAATAAAAAATTAGTAGAACTGAGATTGATATTCATAGTGCATTGATAAACTAGAGAAAATGTACGCATATCCAGTTCTTGGTAAGTGATGGTGCCATCTACTAAAATGAGAAATAAACAGCTGCCCTTCATAATTTCATAAAATTTTACTAGTGTTGTATGAGTCCAAATAGATGTAAATATCCTCCTTATTCTCATAGTCTTCCTTTATGTAATTATTTATATAAAAGTAGAGCTTTTAAATCATTTGATGGTAGAATGAATGCTTTGCTTTTCTATAAAGCTCATAATAGACTTTATTATGCAAATTAATATATATAGCTATGTATGTTTACTTAAATTTATCATTTAATGCTATAGCTAAAACCTATTCTGACAGCATGAATGTTTCTTGTGTACTACAATTAACTTAAAGGCAACAGTAAATAAAAGAATGAATAAAAAGTAACTCATATCATTCACACAGAAATTTGTAGTTGGTAAAAGCAGAGTTCTTTGGTTTAAACTGTTTTTTTGTTTTAAGCTATGAATACAAATAATGAACACAGTATTATTAAATATCTAATCTGTCTTATAATATTTACATAGTGAACTATTTATAAGTTGCACCCTTTTTGGGTAATTAACTCATCCAATGTTAAGAACTGTGTGTTCTTAGTACCAACTTTAGCAAGTAACTGGTTATCAGATTATATCCAGTAGTCAAGGAATTTGGGGCTGGCTGGTTAGCTCAGTTGGTTAGAGGGTGGCCTTATAACACTAAGTTTATGGATTTGGGCTCCCCCCACTCAAAAAAGAAAAGAAATTTGAAATTAATTTATTAAAGGTTACTTTAAATGCTTATGTAACAATTGTTTTGCCTATTTTTAACTTAAAAGGAAATCATATATCTGGAAAAATTTTTTAAATGTTTAAATGATTATTACCTTGAAAAAGATGAAGCCACTGGATAATGAGGAAATAAACTGTATTAAACTAATCACTTAAAATGAGGGTGGTTGTCAGGTCACAAGAATCCAAGATTCACATAAAACAAATTAAAGCCAAGAGGCTTAATCAAGGCTGTCATTGTTTGTACAATGACTCCACCTAATATTTCCTAACACTTCTAAATTATTTTGAAATGTGGTTCATTAAAACGCTTGGGGAACAATAAAAACATTCCTGGCTGAAATGAAAAACCAAAGAACTGCGTTTAAGAGACATAATGCAGCATCTAGACAAAGAAGATGGCAAGAAAAAAAATCCTTTTGAAACCTACTCTGGTTTTGAGAAGACAAAAAAAAAAAAAATAGACAAACCATTAGCTAGACTAAATAAAAAAAGAATAGAGAAGACCCAAAAAGGAAAACTAAGAAATGAAGAAGGAGACATCACACCTGATATAACGGAGATACAAAGAATCATTAGATACTATTAATAACAACTATACACCAACAAACTTGAAAACCTGGAGGAAATGTATAAATTTCTGGACACATACAAACTACCAAGATTCGTGGAAAAATAGAATTAAAAAATAATACAAATCTTTCCATGAACTTTTATACGCATAATTATTTCTGCATTATTCCACCTTTCTATACTCTTTCCTCTGTTCTTTAAAATACCAAAGCTCAGATGTCTGAGACTCCTCAGGGATTTAAAAAATTTCATTGCTTAAAATAATAAAAAAAATAAAGAAAAATAAAATAAAATAAATAAACCCCCAAAATTTCATTGCTGAAAATGATTTTCTTTTTGGACAACTGGCTCATTAGAGAATAAAACAATATAACTGGTATTAGAGTAGCAACTATGCTACATCAAATGCCTAATGTTTCATTCTTTAGATCAGTGATTCTTAACCTGGATCTAAGCAATTAGCTTCAAGGGATCCTGAATCCCTTAAATTACACGCTAAATTTGTGTCTGTATATTTTATAAGGAAGACTCATAGTTCTAACCAGATTAAAAGGGGGTCCATCCATTATCTCTTTATTTAAAAAGTGTTTTTCAAGCATCTCATGCAGTCCTTTGTCATCATATCTGTTTTTACAACAAATATGCTAACCACACCTGGATAGTTTGGCTCTAGAATCACACTTGTAATTTCCTTAAATGCATCTTCCTCCATTCCCCAGCCACCCAACTTTTCCTTCAGTAGAGAAGAAGAGGGAAAATATCGAGTTTTTCTTTCATTTTAACTATCACTTAAGCATCTCAAAAACTTACAGCTCTGGGCAAATAAGGTTGACATGCCTACTTTGGGACAACTTTCCTAAGCTTTTGTTATTTTCAGGCTTATTTAGGAAGCATGACAAATTTTATCTTTATAAATTGAAAACCTGTGACTTGGTTGTCTTTCACTTATAAAAAGTTAAGGGGAAAAATAAAGAAAAATTATGAAATTATAACACCTAATACAGTAACAGAGAATTATGTTAAGACCATTATTATTGCTGTTGTTATTTTAATGTGGGGTTTCTGACCAGCTTTCTTCAAGAGCTGTCCTTAAGGCACAGAATAGACACTTACCAAATTAGGCAAAATATACTAACTTGTTCATTTGCATGAGCTCTATGGAGTTCATGAATATCAAAATCCTCCAGGTTAAGCTGCAACTTCTCTTTACAGAGTTCACAAGTGGTTACAGCCTCTAATGAAGAACCTGGTAAAAATGAAATTACAAGTAAACCTTAGTGTTACAATGTCTTCACAAAACATTTTTCTTCCTAGGTTTTAAGCTTAAAATATAGAAAATCTTATCGATGAAGAAAGAAATAGAGAGAAAAGAAAAGGAGAAGAGAAAAGAAAAGAGGAGGAAAAGATTGCATTACTGCAGTAACCCAGTAAGGTCTCCTAAAATAGCAATCCATAATGCCTACCGTGCATGTCAGGTCCCGCCCTATGGTATTTAAGCCTCCACCCATTATTTAGATATCTCTGTTGTTTTTTCCTCCCAGAAATATATACATCCTTGATTATGGGAAGCTGACAGAGGCAATGGAATGTCATCTGTACCTCCTTTTTCCTCCTTAAGTACTTTGGCATGATGCTGTGAAAACAATGCTTAATGATACAGCATCTCAAACAGCTAGTTACATACCCACGTCAGTACAGCATACACTAAGAAGACTTTTTTGAGTCTAAGGAATGTGTCTGCCATACTGACTAGGAGAGGAAAAAAGGGAACCACCTTTGTCCAGATAAAAACAGCTCCTTTCTACCATAAAAGGAATTAAGTCCTGATGCATGCTACAACATGGACGAACCTTGAAAATATTATGCTAAGTGAAATATGGCAGAGGAAAAAGGATAAATATTTTATAATTCTAATTATATGAAATATCTAGAATAAACAAAATCAGATAGAAAGTAAATCAGAAGTCATTAGGGATTGGGGGAAAGGGGAGTGTGTGGAGTGGGGAGTTATTGTTTAATGGGTAGAACTTCTGAGGTGATGGAATGTTTTGGAAATAGTGGTGATGGTTGTACAACATTCTAAACGTAGTGAATGCTAAATTGTGTACTTAAAAATGGTCAAAATGGTAAACTTCATGTTATAAATATTTTACCACAATTTTAAAGAAAGAAAAAAAATCCCACTTCCGTTCCATATGCATTGAACGTTTAATTACTCCTAAGCTTTTGGCTCCAACTTAGTAGGTAGTAGTCTTCTCTACCTGAACATGTAGTTTTTTCCCTTTTCTGTATTTTTAGATTGATCTTCAAATTGAAAAATGTCCTAAAAATTAGAATAAGTTATGTGAGTACCAAGGTAGAGGTTTAAATTCAATTCAACTAATATTTGTTGAGAGATTGTTATGTGCCAAGCAATAATTAAGAGGTTCTGGAGATTCAGAAAAGAGCAAGTAATAGCCTCTGTTTTCAAGGAGGTCATAAAACTCTTGTAAATGGTGTTATTTAATAACAACTTTTTAAAAAAGAGTAAAATTCAGCATAAAGTCCAAGACAACAGTAGTAACTTAGGTGCATTTTCTAGAAAATGGCTGAAGGAAAGTGAGTGCTAATTTGAGGATGTTGTCTATGTTGTCTCAAAATGAACTGCAATCAAAATCACATCTGGTTTTCACTATATGAGGATATTTCAAAAAGTTCATGGAAAAACAGAATGAAAAGATAATATAAATTTTTCCATGAATTTTTTGAAGATCACTCGTATTTAAAAACAAACATTTTGGGGGGAGTCTAGCATACATGAAGATGTTAAAATTAAACTTCACCTGAAAATATTTTAATTTTTAAAAATTAAAATTGTACCACTTAACTAAATTTAGGATAAGTCCATATTATGACTTGATGGAGAATATGAGAAAGACATTTAAAAGGCTTTCTTTTATTAGACATTTCATAGAACTATTCTCTAATTCAGAAGCAGGAAAAGTAAGATAATCATGAAATATGGACCTAGGAGACCATTTAGTACAATTTTTTTTTATATCTTAAGGCTTCATTTTTCTCTTGTATGGAATAAGTGACTTAACAAAAGTCATTCAAAAAGGCCTCACACAGCTGGTAACAACCCATTTTGTGTCTGTCTAAACTTGTACTAGACTTGTTTTATTCATCTTTGTACATTCTGTAGGATTCAGCTACTTAATAAATGCTCAAATCAATCTTTATCAGAATTAATCTTCTATCAGATGAAGTCTTTGCATAAATATGAGAAAGTCTTCTGAATATTTACCAGGCAGTTTCACTTGTTGAGATCTATATATTCAGTTGATCACACCTAAAAAAGAACTTATTACAACCTTATAAAAATAACTCCCATTTAATTTAGTACTTAACAGTGCCTGGCAAAATGCAAAACTATAAACATTATCATCTGACATCCACAACTCTGAGGTATTACTCAATTTTACTCATGATAGAACTGAGGCCTAAACCCAGACCTAGTTAAGAATTGTTACAAGCGGATCTGAAGCATTTGTATATTTAAAAACTCCAATGGGTGATTTTGATTAGCAGCCAGGGTTGAGAACTAATGTTAAGAAACACACTCAGGATCCTAAAGCTGGCTAAGTGTTGCAGCTAATTTTCCAATCTAGGGTTGTCTAACTCCAAACCGCCAATGTTCTTCAAACAATGAACTGTACTGTTTTCCTCCATACCCAACACAAATAATCCAGTTTGTCAACATATCAGAAATTGAGTTAAGTTGTTCTTCGTTTTGGTAACAGCTGACATTTATGGGCCCTTACTAAGTGTCAAGAATCAAGCACTTTACATGTAATCTCTCATTTAATCCTAACAACACCCCAAGACAGTGATTAATAAAGCCTACGAGGTTACCATAACACTACACAGCTGAGAGAAGAGGCTATTACAGGAGAGATGGCATGTTCCAGAGTTTTGGGTTCAGACTAGGGTAGAAGAAAAGATACTGCTTCCCACCCCCACTTCACTTCCCAAAAGGATGGGATCCTTTGCTTATTACCCCCTGACTACCACCACATCCCCAACAATTTGATTACAGTTTCCCAGTAGCCCCATAATCTCCAGCTTGATTACGTCACCCAGCTCCTATAACAGAGTGTGAAAATTAAAATCAGAGCCACCATACCTTACAACATATTTGCCTATGCCACAGACCTTTAACCTCACATAATTGCATATATTTATTAATCTAATTTCACACCTTTCTCACCTGCTAGTCATTTCCACTATGTCCTCTTGTACTCACAGTCTAACATCAATAAATTCCTCTAATAACTAACCCGATTTTTTGAATGATCTCTGTACCTTCAAGCCTGAACCACAGTGTCCCCTGATATATACTCTCTTGCAGCCAGTTCTTCCCACAGCCTCTTGTATCTCCAGGACCAAGAAGTGACGATAGATGCCTGCTCCCCAACACACCTATTCCTGTTTTCAAACCTTAATTCCACCCTCACTCAAAATGACTTTAGTTCCAGGTTCTCTACATTCTTCACCAACTTACTTCTTTGGTTATTTCAACATCTACATAGACCATTCGCTTTGAATTTGAACTTTCTCAACATCCTTGTTTCCAATATTACCCTTCCCCACCTCAGCCACGCTATCAAATCCTATTGTCATTTCTTTATTCTCATCTTTGACCTCTGCAGTACAGGAGTGATCACACCCTCCTTATAACACTTTCTTCTTCTGCCTTGCATAATATAACACTTGCTTAATTTTCTCCTACCTGACTGGAGGTTGCTCCTCAAATTTCCTTCTTGGCTCTCACGTATTTGGTTGCCCCAGGGCTCTATCTTGGGGCCATTTCTTTGACATTTGCTCTATCTCTAGGTGATCACTTATGTGCTCCTAATTCCCAAAACTGTAACTTTCAGAGTTGCTCCTCAAATGCCACGCTTTTCTAACTGCTTACATGACATTTCCATATAGTTATCTAATAAGCAGTCCAGATATAATATGTTCAAAACAGAATCCTTAATTCCTTGTCCTAAATCTGTTCCATTCTCAGCTTCCTTATTTCAGCAAAAGCCACCATCATTTACTTAGTTGCTCAAAGCAAAAATATGAGCTTTCCTAATTGTTTTCTCTTCCTCTTTCCATCACATCTAATCCACTGGCAAGTCTTATAGAATCCACCTCCAAAATGTAGCAGAATCTATCCATCACCGCATTCTAGCCATCACCACCAATTCTGGCTGGTTGGTCTTCCTGCATCCACTCTTGTCCCCCTAAAATCCATTCAGAATAGCCAAATATAAATAAGATCATTTCATCCCTCCCCCTTTCAGTGCCTTCCCAGCATTCTTATATAAAACTCTAAGCCTTGGACCTTAGCTTCGAAAGTCTTGCATGAGCTAGCCTCTGCTAATCTCTCTTATCTCAATTGTACCACTCCTTCCCTCACTCCCCTGATTATATAATTATCAGGTACACTGTGCATCATTCAGTTCCTCAAACATTCTTTGTACTAGCTATTCCCTCTGCTAGAATGTTCATCCCACATTCTGTGATAGCTAGCTCCTTATTGTTCGGCTCTGAGTTTGAATGTCCTCACTTCAGAAAGGCATTCCTTTAACACCCAATACCACCACCACAAGAGCAGGTGCCTTATCTGTTTTGTTTACCACTCTATATCCCAACATCTGGAACTGTGCCTGGCCCTGTAACAGGCGCTCAATGAACAAATGAACTGTTACATTAGCCTCATTATTAAGTGACTCAACAGCCCTAGAGACAATTAAGTCTTTCTCAAGGACACATAGCTAATAAATGGTGAATGTATTTCTTTGATATGAGTCACCAGCAATCATAAATTAGAATTGTATTACATACGAGGGGTCTTCAAAAAGTTCATGAAAAAATTCACATTATTATTATTATTTTTTTTTTTTTGTCTTTTGTCTTTTTTTCCGTGTCTGGCAACGGATCGCAACCCTCAGTGTTGCCCCCGTACCGGACCGGGGACCGGCAACGGGATCGCAAGCCTCGGCGTTGCTCCCGCGCCTCGCTCAGCCAGTGAGCGGGAACCGGTCTGTATGTGGGATCCGAACCCTCGGACGGGAGCGCTGCCGCGCTTCCCAAGCGGCGCACTATCCAGTGCGCCACCGGGCCGGCCCCCACATTATCTTTTAATCCCATTTTTCCACAAACTTTCTGAAGTATCTTCATATTATGTAACAAGTAGTAAATAGTTGGGAAATGAAATACAAGAAACATTACTATAAATTAATGAAAGCAAGACTAATGCTTTTGCTGAGACTACAAAAATGATTAAGACACTTTTGATAAGAGCCTAAATTAATCAATAAATTAAAATCATAAATTTCTTAATCAAAATGTATACACATCTCTTGGAAAAATTCTGAAAACAAAACACACAAAAGACTAAATCTTACCAGAGTTAATTTTGGCCTGCAACCACTTTTTCATACACTCTTGGTGGACATACTGCAAACTTCCTGTGCACTTGCATGGCTCTATCAGCAAATTAGATGATGATGCAGCTGCCATCTGACAAATTCTACATAAGTCACCTTCTTCTTCTTCAGAGTCCTCTAAAAGAAGGCTGAAAAAGAAGGCACATTTCCCAAACAAGGCTATCATAACTCATCCTGACTAGTCATTTCCAGTCATACATAATCCCGAACAATCTCTTTTTTTGTTATTTCTACTAGTGTTCTCTTTGGGTGGAAAAAAGCAAACAGCAACAAAAATAAATAACAATCACCACGAGAAACCAATTTCATGGAGAATAAAAACTGTAAGTATTTTAAAGGTAATAGAAATAGGCTATCCTATCATCTATTGTCAAATAGTATCAATAATTTTGTCTTGTGGTAGTTTAACAGTTGAAACTGTTAAGTTTAACAGTTTAAGTTTCAAATTTTTCACAATCACTTTATAAGTACCTCTAAGAGATTTTAATTTCTGCAGTATCCCAGATTACTTCACATTCAACAATATAAAGATAATGTAACATATACACTCTTCACTTCTGTCTCCCACTTCCCTCAAAATTCAGAGTATTTTCAGTAAATTAATCAGAGACATAACCTCAAGCATAAGTATTCTGAAAAGCTGAAAATATATTTACGTTTTTCTCTTTAAATTTAATTTTCTTCCCTTCATAGCTTCAATTATATTTTACTTGGTAGATTCAACTTCAATACCCTTATTAATTTAATTGTAGAATGTCTTAAAATCCTCATCTATGAGGCAAATTATAATAATGGAATGAACACACACACACACACTCTCTCTCTCTCTCTCTCTATGGCAAAAATAACCAAAAAATGCTGTTTTTTAGACTAACCAGATAGGATGGTGCTGGCTTAATTGGTTTCTCTCTTGAAGATCAGTAAACTAATGCTTTACCCTCTGTTTACACTACTGCACTCAAATTATACTAACTTTGAGGGCAAGAATATATTTACTATATTCCTGAACAGACAGTTTGTAATCAGAGGGAACTGCTATAATAAGCAAACATTAAAGCTAACACTACCAGGGTAGAGTAAATCTCTTTCTACAAGAAAGAAAAAATAGCAAATTTAAAAGCAGGAAAATAATAGCCACATGGTAGAATCTGTCATATAAAAGGAAATCTGGAAGTACAGTAGCCCAGTGCCCAACATCTCAGAGAGCATATAAAGCTTCCTTTATCACCAGAGTTGGATCTGAACATATTTTCTTGTGAAAGTACAAAACTATCTAAAATGACAGTAACAACTATGTTTCTAACAATTTCATTACATTAAGCCTTTATGAAAAAGATAAAAACCAAAAAAAAAAAAACCTCATCTTTAATTTTATAGAAGTCTTTTCTTCCTATAAATATATTTTACATGTACTACTCTATCCCATTTTACCATAAAAACTATTTTAATATTAAGTAACTAGATTAAGATGACAAAATCAATATTAATTTAGTTGTGACTAAAATCTCTGGTCTTTCATCTTTTCATTCTTACCAGTGATTTTTAAGCAATGTTCAACTCTACAAAATAGTTCTGTTATATAAAAAGATTCTAAGCCCTAAATTTAAACTGGTATTTATGTCAAATAATCTTAAGATATAAAGAATATTCAGTATACATTTGGACTTCAAAAACAAAATAAAAATTTGTGCATCTGATTTTACTTTATTCCAAAGAAATATTTTGAGGTGAGAAATGTAAATAAATGATAAATTATCCTGGTAAACACTAGAACAAATTTACTGGTAATCCATGACCACTTGGTTCCTCGTACCAACCCCATTTAGCAGTAGCCTACCAAGGAACAGCATAACAGATTAAGGTTTTTGTCTTTGTATGTATAGGTATCACAAGCTGGTTAAAAATAACCTTCAGGTTATTTCTTGATGCAATTCACACCCCCCATAACTACCCTCAATTATTTCTCATCCATTTACTTATAAGTGAGACACTAACATCTTAAAGAATGTAAACGTTAAGGGAAAAAATTTCAGATATCAACATTATGAGAAGGCAATTCAGAAATAAGGAGTTCCTTAATATGCTCTTGCTTTATAGTCTTAAGACAAGTATTCAAATTTACCTCTCTTTTATCTTCTGCAGTCTTTCTGGATCTCTTGAAGGTGCACTCTTACTTTTGTCACTTTTTCCATCAGCTGAATTCCAACCTGAAGGAATAATATCTACAGTGATCATGATATTGTCGGTCAAATTACTTCCAAGTGCTGGGGGGACTGCAAATCGGAATAAGGAACCAGGAAAAATCCCTGTTATTCCTGTATTTCTTCCACCTTGAGCTGAATCTGATGTGGAACCACCTGTAGTAGCACTACTTGATGCTGCAGATGCTTGTGGTCTGTTGGCAGCAGCCCCAAGGGGATCATTCTGTACTTCAAGGTGAACCATTTCATTTGATTCTCTTCTAAAAATATGAGATCTAGATGGTATATCAGAGGTAGGTGTCCTTGAAGATTCATCTCTTCCCTCTCGTCTCCTTCTAGAGAACAAAGGTGTGCATCTATTTCTAAGTGAGGAAGATAACCACGGTCCTGTATTTCTGCCTTCAGACTCTTGGTTAAAATTTTCTGAATATGACTCAGAGCTATGATTCTGGCCAAGAGATGACAAACCCCATCTTCGTCTAAGAAATCGAAATCCCTGAGAAGCTTCAGATGCCCTAGTATCAGAAACTTCAGAAGTTGATGCTGCATTATTACGAGAGTGTGAAGCTGTCAAGATTCTTGGAGAAATGTAAGAACTTTCAGAACTCAATGATCTTGCATTCAAGGAATCCTGACTAGATCTTCGTGAAAAAAAAGTAGATGACATGCTAGAAGCTATACGTGACAACAATCTCCTAGTCGTCCGCCTACCTTCATTGTCAGAAGATTCTTGAAATGATCTCTGAGACGAACCAAGCCTTTCAGAATTGTTTATGGTTGGGGTTTCATCTCTACTTGAAATATAAGAAAATCCAGGTTGCGTACTGCTTCGGGGAGATTCTGATTCTCTTGGAGAAAAATCTGATCTTAAAGAATTTCTGCTGGAGTCCCTAGAACTTGGTACAGTCTGATGTTCAGAAGGCAATTGGTGGCTTATGGATGATGTATTCAACTGTAAAGTGCTCACTGAGTTTTCTTTTGGTCTTGCTCCCTGTGAATATGAAGGAACTCTGTCTTGAACATCTATTTTTGAAAGGAAGAAAAGGTAACCAATTACATGAAATAATTTGGGTATTACTAAGTTTGCATTTATTAACCACTAATTACTTCCAAATGAAACACTGGATTCAAACTGAATACTACTATATTATAACTAGATAGCTTGCTTAACTATTATAGAAAAAACAAGAGTGTATTTCTCTTTCTATTCCTATTGGTAAAAACCAGTACTTCTGTGTAAAGTCAACATTACAAATTCAAAAGAAAGAAATGGATCATTAGCTTATGAAAAGCTAACAGTGGATGGAAGGTAAAACAGTTTAATATCTTAGTCATAAGTTGATATGGTAGAATAATATCTAAACTGATACAGAATTTTAAATGGGCCAAATAATACAATGTTAATGACTTTTATAATGATTAAAAGCAAAATCATCCTAGGGGTATTGCGTTTTGGAGATTTTTCTTACTCTGTGCAATAAAAATAGAAGTTATTTCATGTAAACATCATCACCATTGTGATTTTATGACAAACCTTGCTAAAAGCTAAAAATTTCTCCAATCTTTTATCTTTTAAGTTAACAGCAGTGGTTCTTATGCCTGATTAGTCATCAGACGTACCTTTGCTCTTTAATACTGGCTGGGATCTATGAAAGGGTTCTGGCATATGCATTTTTAAAGTAAACCTTAACTGGTGGTTTGAATCCAAATGGGATGAGAAACACTATAGGATTCCTTTGCGAAGAATGTTTATCCACACACTTAGTGTAAGAGCTAGATTACTACTGTGCTAGTACATGGAACCTCAAGAAAGGATGAACTGTTAAGGGCTAAATCTATTTCTACACTGCACTTTTTATATTCCGAAACCTAGAAGTTATTAAAACCATCTACTAAAGCTCCTCCATCCAAGGCCAAGCAAATAAAACACTTTTTATTTGTCTTGAATAAAGCAATGTCTTGCTCCGATACAATTAAGTAAAATAACCTAAATCTTTGAAGACAAAATATATTTTCTTCTACATAAATCAAACTCACTTCTGCCTATCTGTTAACCTCAATTAGCACTTTTTTCTTCAATCAGTTAGTGTGATAGTTTTATGATGTTTATTTTCGAAAAGCCTAAGTAAGGCACAATGATAGAAATAGTGTGGGTCTTTACGTCAATTCAATAAAAATAAAGGCATTCTCATGTTATACTAAATCCCAAATTATGCCTTAAAATGGTGATTTTTTAAAAAAACTAATCAGTACTTTTTATTAAATTTAACAATATGATTCATTTCAAAGCACTTTTGTAAATTATTAAACACATTTATTAAACAATTCAAGTATTATCATAAATAATTGTTTATATAATAATAAAATGCAAAGAAAATGTAGGTGTTTTGCCTGAGATTCCATCATGAATTTAAAGATATGTTTTGAAAAGTGATATGATAGAATTCATTAGTAATGATTTTTGAACTGAGTCATTCTTCACATGAGCTGTTCAAAATAGGAAAAAATGGTTACTTATTTGGTGAATGAGACCTGGCCTCTAATTTGGTTTTGAACTGTCATTATTACCTAGATAATCTCAAATCTGAGTGAAATTACAGTATTGAAGAGATGAAAGAAGATGTAAAAAGTTTGAAAAAATTAAGATGTACATTCGAAGAACGTAAACTAATGTTGCATTCTTTTAAAAATGAGTACATAAAAGGACTAATTACTCAGTATTTATTCTGAGTCAAAGAAACCCAGTGTGTATGCTTACTCTATTTATAAAACTGTTTTTTTCATTTATTTAATCTTTAGTTACTTCAGAATTTAGAAGTAGTTACTTATTATACCATATATTATAGACATATTATATTTGAGTGTATAAGAATTTTTTAGTATATTATTTTATAACATACATTCTTAAAAGGAAAAATGCAAGTAAAATATTTAAAGGCAGAAGAAATCTGGATACTCATGTACATCTATGATTTTAAACTGGTTACATTTTTTAAAGCAAAACAAAAAAGTACTAAAAGTCATATTAAGTTATTCTGAAATCTTCAGGACATAAGATTCATCTACTCTTGTGCACTGTTATTTTAATGATATAAATAGGAAAATGTAATATTATTAGATAATTTAATACTTAACAATGTAGTTTATACATACATGATGAAGTTGTGAAATCGCCACTTCGGTGACTATAATCCATAAGATTACTAATGGAGGAATCTGTTCTCTCCACATCTCTCCTCTCTCTCATTAAGTCTGTTCCAAATGATCCAAGTACCACCGATGAAGATCTGGGAGCCTGACTATGCCTCCAAGAAGAATCTTAAAATAATTAAAGAAGTTTTATTTCAGAGAAACCTTCCAAGGTTCCTGATGATAACAAATCTTCACTAACACAGAGGAAGGTTACTGTTACTTATTATGAGAATCCCCAGTTACATAGTTGCAATCAAAAATCATGGCTGCAGGCCAGCCCGGTGGTGCACTGGATAAGTGCGCCGCTTGGGAAGCGCGGCGGCGCTCCGGCCTGAGGGTTTGGATCCCATATACAGACCGGTTCCCGCTCGCTGGCTGAGCGAGGTGCGGGGGCAATGCCGAGGGTTGCAATCCCGTTGCCGGTCCCCGGTCCGGTATGGGGGCAACACTGAGGGTTGCAATCCGTTGCCGGACACGGAAAAAGACAAAAGACAAAAAAAAAAAAAAAAATCATGGCTGCAGGGCAGAGCCCGTGGCACCC